GCTTGTGGTCTGGTCACAACCATATGTGGCAGAGATCATACCTACCCACAGAAGGAAGTGTGGCATCAGCCCCTTCAGTAAACTATATGGAGGATGTTATGTGATTGGGAGCCATTTCTCCATAGGGAGAAAATAGTGCTGCCTGGTTGCAATAACCAGAACATCCATGACAAAGGAGGAATAAGGGGCATGTTGGAGAGGGAAAAAAAAGAATGGAAAAACTTTGTTTTTGTACAAAATAAGGACGCATATTTATAATGATAATCTATTCCTACTGGCTGGAGTTCAGCTTTAAAAATAAACTGCACCCACAGCGGCTGGTACTTTTTTTTTCTGGGAAGGTGGCAACCCTATGTTCTGGTGACACAACAAAAACTAAAGACATCTCAAAGTTGACAGAGACAAAAATTACAGAGGTTTTTAAACTTTGTCTACCTAGTAAATAAAAAGTCCTGCTATCTTTGTAGATTTTTCACGTTTCCTGCCCCATTGGCACAACGAGAGGTGAAGGGAAATTTCCTAAATGGGGCACAGACTACAAGAAAAACTGAGATTCTTTTAATTTACTCCCCATTTTACCCTAAACCAAAAGGGTTTGGCTGGAGTTCCAGCAACATTTATCCAGTTTCTGATCTCAGGACTGGATGAGATGGACTGTCCAATAAAACAAGCACAATTTAGATAATACACACTGAGAGCTCCATAGATCAATCACTCCATTGTTATCACCACTTTTATTGGAATTTACACAGTACAACCATGTATAGAGGTATATATTACTACACAGGATTAACAGCACCATAGTCAACTCCTCGTCAATACTGACGGTGGTTGAGCAGACACAGTTCTCAAGATGGAAAAATACAGTTTTAATTAAAATTTTGTTGGCAGTACATACTGTACATAAAATGGCCTTTTCTATTTGGCAGTAGGCAGGCACTTTTTACAAGCCATTAATGCAAACAAGATACAACAAGTAAATTTATAGCAGACAGAATTAAATACTGAACACTCGATCATTAAAGAAATAATAGTTAAAGTTGCCTATAGCTAGAGACATTTGCTCTGAGCAATGAGAATGGCTTCACAGACATTTATTAATGAGATCCATTGATATAGTGGTTCACCAAAGCAGCATCAACAGATTTATATACTTATGAATGCATTTACAGTATAGCTGTGACTACTCATATTAAAAGGAATAAAAAAAAATAGTTACAAAAGAAAAAGATTGTATAGTGAAAAATATGTCTTTTTTTTCTGAGTGTAGAATTTGACAAATTATTCCAAAATGGACCAGAATGACCAAAAATGGACTCTACTTTATTTCTATATATGACAAAATGGACTCAACTTTGTTTCTATATAGTATTATATCCCACGTAATTGTGATCCCTCTACCAGTGTGAATCTTGAACACTTAGGGGTCAACGTTTTGACCAAAGAGTCATACAACTTTTACCTATTTTCCACATTAGATTTAATTACAATAATGGGTGAAAAAAAAACATTACAAGATTCCTTAAAACCCATCTCCAGGCAAATTTTAATTTTCAAAACCTATCCTCACACCTCAATTCTATTTTTTTTTAAATACTTCGCTCCTGATGGAAAAAAAGCCTGCAGTTAAATCTGGGTGTCATAAACCTGAGCAAAATCTCTTAGGGAGCCTGCACAAGATTCAAGTAAATCAGCACTAGGTCCTTGGGGCACTCTTGCAGCAGATCCATGTGTAGAGGGAATGGATGGTAAGTAAATGCTGATTACAGTGCCTCCTGTAAAGTAACCCAGGGCAACTCCCTGGGGACCTAACCTCTAAAGTGAGCATAACCTTCCCATATAAAAGTGAACCTGTCCCTAATACCTAAAGTTAAAATTCTTGACACTAAGGCCTGATTCACACCATTGCTTTTTTCAGAAATGTACTACAGTCTATTTAACATGGTTTTCTACGGGACACGCTCACATCTATGCATTTTTTTAGCCCTTTTTTGGAAAGGGTCAGAGACTTTTGTAAATGCAAAAAATTACATTTTGTTCAACAGACTTCAATGGAGATGCTGCAGAAAATGCATGTAGTGCATTTTTGATGTGTTTTGTGTTTTTAATCTGCCCAGCAATAAGTTGCCACCCCCCCCCAAAAAAAAGCATAAAAAATGCAAAATGCATAAAAAAAGTGTCAAAAAATGCACCACAAAAATGGACAAATCTCAAACTTCATTGGTGTGAACCATGCCTAAAACTTAATTTATACCACTTGTGTTAAGCATGCGCTGTTGTGTGTTTAACGTTGTGCTGTGCATATTTTCACAACAGCAGCAAACATATCTTTCCTTTAAAACGGAGTTCTAGTCCTCACAATCATTTCTTTTTAAATACTACCCCGTGATTATTACAACTTAAACTTTAAGATTTGAATGTTATTAAGGTGTTCCTTCTTCTTTCTTTAAAATCAATAAAATCTAACCTGATCTCAGAAGCAGGCAGGGTTCATTCAGGTTGTGGGCATCTGAAGCCCACTTGTGTTTATTTCTGGGATTCAGTGCAGCTGGCTACCCAGCATGCACCTCCCGATCTCGCACCTACGTAGTAATGACACTGTGCGGCGGAGTTTCTTTATGACAGGTTGCCATAGCAATGGGGGCGTTAGTGCAAGTTCCCACCCGCTTGTGGTGGCAACCTTTCCCGATTGTGTCATTTCCGGTCTTGAAATTACGAGAGATATCAGTATTAGGCGATTTCCATGAACGTCTGGGATAGATGATGCCAATATCCCAGGAGTCCAAGGGAATTGCCTTATGACATCGCCTAGGCAGGCGGACTGGAAGCGCCATATACACAGCTCTAGATAAGGTATTTAGACGTTAAAAAAAAAACTAGCCATTTATAAATGCACTGCAGATGGTGATGTGCATGAAAGGAAATTGTAAACATGGGTGCAACTCCACTTTAACGTGTGTTGGAGAATGTCATACTACATTTAAATCCATTGTTTCCTGCAGCATTGGTGTGAACTGAGCCTACTGGAATCAATGGACTTTGGCTTGTCATTGCGTTGAGCAAGAGGAAGCATGGGAAACATTGCTGTACTATGTGGCAGCCCTATACTTCCGCATCTCCTGGGAGTCACAGTGGAGAGATAAAAGAACAGAAACAGAATCTAAGATGTGGGAATACTTACAAGGTCAACAAAAGATAAATCAAGGTTACAGCTGATGAGTGTTGTGGAAATCTGAAAATGTGAAAAGAGAAGTTTGTGATGAAAGGACAAAACCTATCCGGTTTAGAAGTATGCCTGGAGAGGTAACAGTCTGCTGATCACCTGATGTGCTGACATGTGCCAGATGATCCTCTGAGTTACCTTTTCGGATCCAGATGACCAGGAGTGGTTTGATATACTCAAATGCGCGATTTATTGCGCTTTCTGGTTAGTGCAATATACATTCGTTTACCAGCCACTGGAGTCACGGAATTCACTTTATGATGTTTATTGGACTTTGAATTTATATATTTATTATTATGTGTGTCACTACTGCAGTTTATACGTCAAATCAAGACGTTATTTTCACCATCAGATATAGCGCTCCACAGCGCATGTTTTTACGTTTGTTACATCATACATATACGTTGATTCATTTATTCATCATTTGTCTAGCGCTGCATTTTGCTTATTATTGATTTATTGGAAGGATTGAGGTTTTACCTTTATGCTAGCAGCTTACTCCTTTTACCTAGCGCTCAGTTAGCCTTTATTATTTTATTTACTGGATTCTTGATTTACCAACTAGTGAGCCATTAAGCTGGAACAAGCATGGCGCCTACGAGAGCTAAAAAAAAAAAAAAAAAACATAGAAAAAAAATCTGAACTCACAGTTGGCTTAATTGTTACATGTCAGTAACTCACTGGTAAGGAGATCAGGATGAGGATGACGGAGGCTTTATGAAGAAGTTACCAAGAAAAGCTGCAACTCTCAAGTTCACTTTAAGTTGTCTTAGGAATGTACTGTAAACTAGAAAAGCTAAAATTTCTGGGGAATTTGTGTGAAGTGTTCTTGCCTCCACCAGTAGTCTACAACTGGAGTGGGCGGAGTAACTGGGTGAGAGTGGGCGGAGTAACTGTTGTGTGGTTGGAGTGGCTGGAGTAACTGTTGTGTGGTTGGAGTGTCTGGAGTAACTGTGAAAAGTTTTTGTCAGCTCCCACTCTAGTTTTGAACAGTCCGCCATTCATTCCTATGGGACCAATTTCACCACAAAACCGCTGATATTTCGTGAACCATTCAGCAAAACGTTCCACAAAGTAATTGCACACCAATCGGGAACAATCCGCACATTTCGGTATATTACTGTCTATGTAGTGTAAAAACTGTGGGAGGAGTTAGGGTGGTAAATTTGGCTATAATAATAAGAATATATATATGTGAGATGACAGTAAGTGGTCTTGCCATGTGAGAACACTTAATAAACTGCTGACTAGGGATGCACCGATTCCAGTTTTTCAGAGTGAGTAAGAGCGCAGATACTTTTCCTCAAATACTAGTTGATACCAATTACTGATACCTATTTTTTTCCTGCAAGACTAAAGTTACTATTCTTCTGTTCAAGCATGAGCAGTGCAGGAAACCGCACGTGATTCGGACACGAAAAGCATCACAGTCCTGTGCCAAGCACATGTGATTCTTTGCAGTGCGATTTGAGCCTATTCATTTTGTATGGGCTCATATCGCACCGTACAATAAAGGTATCGGTATTAGGTATCGGAGCAGTAGCATAAGTATTTGTACTTAGTATCAGCACAACCCTACTGCTGACTGGTATTTTTATAGTGTAATTAAATTGTGCCAGCTATTGCACTTTTTGAAAAAAGAAAGACACCTGAGATAACCAATCACAAAGCAGTAAGGAGAGGAAAAACTGCATTGAGGGGGAAAATCCTTTCAACTAAATGCACAAATATTCACAAACTTCAAGATAAATATCACCAAGTATGATCCAAAGAAAGATTAAGTCCAATATTCTGTCATTTCAAAGAGGTAGTGAAACACGTCGGTCCGGCGGGCAATCTCTTGAGCCGTTTCTCCCACTTTGTTAGTTAGATGAGGGTTGAGGTAGCGGTTCATGAGAAGAAGCTCCAAGATCTGGCGACTATCTCTGTTGGCCGCAGCTAGATGTAAAGGGGTCAGAAAGCCCTCAGTTTGTGCGTTGATATCTGCGCCATGCTGCAATAGGAAAGATGCAATAGCGGTGTTATTCCATTTGCAAGCGCTGTGCAGTGGGGTCCATCCATCCAGTGTGACGGCATGTATGTTTGCCCCCTTTGCAATCAGCTCCCGTACCACATCTAGGTGACCGTTGTAGGAGGCTCTGTGCAGTGGGGTATACAGATCTTCATCAGTTACGTTCACAAAATCTGGGTGGGCTGCAAGAACTCTCTGGACGGTTGCCAGCTAGAGAAGAGAAATAACATATATGAAGAGGAGAAACGTGAGTCGTGGAAACTGGATTTTTAGCCAACATATAACAGATGTGATTTTTATTTAATTTTATATATTGTGTTATCTGTACTGATCGCAAATTAATTAAAGGATACGTTCACCTTTGGGAACATGTTATATGTGCCACCTGTTTTTAGGATGGAATATGTAACATGTTCCCAATGCTGCAACCCGTGCCCGATCCCCCTCCCTCCTCCTGACAGCAGTGCAGGGAGAGGTTCCCATTCAAGCTGTCACTTTTTGAACAGAGTGCGGCCATGCCGGGCTCGACCCACACGGCCGCATCATTCATTCATAGAGTTCTGTGAATTAATGTACTACAAGTACCAACAGCCTTAGCGGCTGTCAGCTTGTAGTTCTTAATGAACAGGGGCTGTGGAGCACCATGGTAGTTCATTGATTTTTTTCTGTCATTATATCGGCTTTGCTGTACATCATGTACAGGCAAGCAGTATACTGACAGGTCTGCAGGAGACCTGCATGGCACCAGCGATCTGCTGATCGCTGGTGCAATGGTTTACAGGCTTCTGCAACCAAAAATAATAAATTCACATTTTTGTTTACCTTTATTATTTTTGGTCAAAAGGTGAACTTATCCTTTAAGAAAATCTATACCTATAACAATGATAAGGGATCTGACTCCTGAACTTCAGCAAATTAAAGGGCCAGTGTCAAAAAGCTTTTGTTCACTTTAGAGAGATACTCCCCCTCCCCATACAGTTCTATAGGAAGGCAAAAGCCCATTGATGCAGGCCAACCGCACCTGTATTTCCTTCTCGTTGATTTTCGAAGCATCCTAAATGGATGTCAATAGCACACTGCACTTGTCCACTGTGGCCCGTCAACACAAGATCAAAGGCCAATTTCACTTGCATACAACATCCATTAACGTATAATATTCACCTCTAAGTAACTTTGCCATTTACTTGCTTGTACCTTAAAGGAACCCACTCTTGAATACCTGAGCATATTTATTAATTTATTGCAGATACTTATATAGCGCCATCAATTTGCAAATATATTGTGAATTCACTTTAGTCCCTGGAGCTTACAATCTAAAATCTCCAACTCACATTCATACATACACATGCTAAGACAATTTAGACAGGAGCCAATAAACCTACCAGCATGTCTTTGGAGTGTGGGAAGAAAACAGAGTACCCGGAGGAAACTCATGAAGGCAACGAAGAACATGCAAACTCCAGGCAGTGTCGTTGTTGGGATTTGAACCAACAGCCCCAGTGGTGTTAGGCAGAAGTGCTAATCACTTAGCCACTGTGCTGCCCATTACATTTATCTAAAAGTGGCTGATGATGATGATTTATCTAAAATATTCATTTGTGCTTGGCAACAACTGCGCTTTAAATATTTTGTGAACATTTACAGTGCAAACAAAGTGACAAATGCTCTGTGCAAACTATATCACTTTGTATACTGATTAACAAACAGTCCACTTTATGTTTAGGAAATATTTGAGGTGTGTGTATATACACAGTATACATTAGTGCTGACAATCTTCTAGATGATAGCAAGCATTTTCTAAGATGTGGGGATGTGGAGGAGGTTGTGATGGTGTAATACATTGGGAGAGGCCAAAGCATTACTGTGGCACAGTAAGCCAGACTACAGGGAAAGTTTTCTGAAAATTCAAAAGACAATTATGAAAACACTAATAATCCTAAATAATCCCGTGCTCCCCAAATTTTATTCAAAGCAAATAAACGACCAAAAAAAATGGAAAGCACCCAAATATGTAAAAGAATATTACAAAAAGAATGCTGCTGTAAGCATCTGAGAGTTACTAAGATCAGTGGGAAGGATATTTTTGATCAAATCTAACAGTTGGTCAATGAGTGGAGGTAAGGGGCACTGTTCACTGGTGGAAGTACACTGTGGTGTAACAGTAAGTGGACACTGGAAGCATGTTTGTGTTTGATGAGTGGATATCACATTGAGTTGGAGCACAGGAAGATTTAAATGTATTAATACAGTGGACTTTGAGGATTGTTGTGAATCAAGACTTTTGCACCTGATGAACTTGCACTCAATAGATTAACATTATGTATATCACAAAGTCATAATTCACTGTATGGTGTGATGATATTATTATGACATATATGTTAGAGCACAATTTTAATGTATTTATTATTTATGCATATTTTTTGGTTGAGCAGCACTTTTTGGGTATTGAGAAATTATAAAAACACTGTTGACCAAAGGGCTGTTAAACTGCTAGATCACATCTATTTACCTGAATTTGCTTCATAGACTACGATCTGTGCTGTAAAAAAAAACAAACAAAACAAAAAAAAACAAACCTAAATTTATCTAAGGGCTCATGTACACTGCAGCTGATAAACTGACATTCGGGAGCTTTTCTGTGTTTTTTTCAGCAGCCCCTGAACTCTCCCTAATGTTTTCCTATGTGTCCATGTACACATTGTCGTTTACAGGCAGGTGAGTTTACAGTCGTTTTTTTGAACGCACCAAACTTGCGTTCAGTAGATTTTATCAGTGTTTCAAACGCCAAATGCTTGTAAACACGGCTAACCATGTTTATAAGCGTTTGCGTTTAGAAGAGTTTTTTAACTGTTCCATATCGAAATGCTGTCCAGAGCCTTTTTTCATCATCAGAAATGCATACAAAGCGTTTTCCATGTATTCAAATGGACCCGGTACACCAGAGCAGTCAGTTCCAGGTTTCGCGTGAAGGAAAAAATGGTAGAACGCGCCGCATTATGCTCATGATGGGATCCATAGTGACTACAACCAGAAAAGACAGGTCATCTCAACACATACTGCTCTCTCTGCTTCTGCTCTCTCTATTCCTCTCAAAATGTCTGAAATAGTTAATTTTTTACTGTTTTTCGGTGCATCACAGGCATTTTGGAAGGTATCCTTAAAAAAGGCTTCTAAATGCAAATGCACACAAATGCGGTATGCAAACGTGGCTAAACTGACATTTTTTAACCTACGTTTTCCAGCAGTCAGTTTCCATCGTTCACAAGTGTTTTCCAAACGTCCCGTGTACATGAGCCCTAAGGCTCCATTCAGATCTCTAAAGTTGCATGCTTTCCAGTACGACTTGATCCAACATTGATTCAACTTTCTCTGGACCAAAGTCGAATTAAAAGTCGCACCAAAGTAGTGCAAGCACCTTATCAAAATCGATGCGACTGAGTCGCACATATTTGAAAGGGTGCCATTGAAAAGAATGGACTGCGATTTGTTATGCAACTTTGAGGTGAAATAGAGCCTCACGCATTTTGTGATAGATAAATTATCAGTGTTGTGGGAACAAATTTTCATGTATGTAACTTATTTTACTTTGAGGGAATAAGAACCTTACAGCAATGTTTAAGAACTTTTGTGGACTGTGGGGTGACTGTTTAAAATTAAAAACAAAATGCCTTAGTATAAGTTTTCCCAAGAATAACCCTTTAACCACTTGCCTACAGGACACTTTAACCCCCTTCGTGCCCAGGCCAATTTTCAGCTTTCAGCACTCTCACTTTGAATGACAATTGCGTGGTCATGCAAAATTGTACCCATATAAAATTTTTATAATTTTTTTTACACAAATAGAGATTTCTTTTGCTGGTACTTAATTGCCACTGGGTGTTTTATTTTTTACACTATAAACAAAAAGAGCCAAAAAAAAAAAAAGTTTTTCTTTGTTTCTATTATAAAATTTTGCAAACAGGTAATTTTTCTCCTTCACTGATGTGCATTGATGAGGCTTCTCTGATACACAGCACTGATGAGGTGGCGCGGATAGGCAGCACTGATGGGCACTGATAGGCTGCACTAGTGGGCATTGATGAGGAGGCATTGATATGCAGCAATGATGGGCACTAATAGGCGGCACTGACTGTCGGCACTGAATGACGACACCCACTGGTGGCACTGATGTTCGGCACTGCTGCGCACAGATGGGCGCAACTGCTGGGCAGCATTGATGGATGGCACTGCTGCGCACTGATGGGAAGCAATGCTGGGCACTGGTGGGTGGTACTGCTGGGCACGGATCATCAGTGCCGATCTGCTCTGTGAAAGTTGCCGGTTATCGGCAGTACTTTACAGCGCGAGGAAAGCGCAGCCGATAACCGGCAACTGTATTTACTCGGTGATCTGCTGTGTCAATGCAAGTGTACAATCCATATGCACACGTTCCTGCGTTAAAATTGGCTGTGTGTATAAGTGGGTGCTGCAGTGACTGTCGGCTGGAACCGACCAGAGTCAGCAAGGGAGAATGTCACCAGCACACCGAGGATCACCAATAAGGGTCCAAAAGTTTTAATGGATGATCACATAGTTACAGCAAGGCAATGTTTTTGGAGTCTTGCAGGAACCCTTCATCAGGCATGTGACTCTGATGAAGGGGTCCTGCGAGACTCCAAAACGTTGCCTTGCTGTAACTATGCGATCGTCCATTAAAACTTTTGGACCCATATTGGTGATCCTCGGTGTGCTGGTGACATCTCCCTTGCTGCTGTGTCAATGGACACAGCTGATCACGTGGTAAAGGCACTGTGATTGGTCTTTTACCTCATTACGTGATCACCTGTGTCCGTAGGACACGGTCACGGAGATCGCCGGGTGCGCGCTGCTGGGGGCGCACGTTCTGGGAGGACATCATGTGATGCCCTCCCAGAACTGGACAACTGCGCTGTAGCCGTCATTCTTTTATAGTGCGGTTGGCAAGAGGTTATAGTGTGGCCAAGAACTGATGGCACATCCATTGCAGATTTAGCCTAGGTTTGGGTTTGGGGCAATTCTCAAGCGGTTTGGTGTGTGATTTTGCGGTGCAATTTGTACTTGACAGCTGCAATTGTCATGTAATTGTAATAGTCTATGGAACTTAAAATTGCACTGCAGTAAACACCCACAGGACCCTTTTTTTTTACCTGCATCAGAATCGCACCGCATAGGTGAGAATGGCCTTCATAGAAACCAATGTTATTTCACGTGACAAGCGAATCTGTGCATTCTGGAATGCATCTTAACCACATCAGATTCACATCAGTGTGCACCAGGGTTAAACAGCGCCACCACACGGTAGAAAGATGCTACTGCAGGTCAAGTCTTCATCTACAATGTCCACCAACTATAAAGAACAGAAACCAATGATGCTGGAGACTCACATTTCTTCAATGTTACAATTAGGTAGGGAAAAAAAACATCATAAATGACAGTATACAACACCCAAAAGAGAACTCCATAGTGATTTGGTTGTTTCTCAGGCGTGGCCTCCCTGTCCCTGGTCTCAATGGAGGAGCAGTGCCCACAGGCACACTAATCAGTAGAACTAATGATTAATGTTATCTTGGGGTCACACAACCATTTCTGGAGAGGCTTTCCATGTACAATAATGGATCTGTGGGTGCACAACCATTTTAAGGTTTAAGGTGGCTTAAACTAAAATAGTAAATGTCTACTTCAGGTAAGGAGAGGTACAAAGTATGTTTTATGGTTAAAAACACTATGTTCACATTTATGTCCATACCCTGTTATTTTCTGCAGCAAACAGCAGCAAGTCTCTAGGATTATTTTGCAGCTGGGCCTCCTGCATCTCGTACCATTCCTCAGTCTTCTCCTCATCGTCGTCATCAGACTCTCCAGGCCAATGGCTCTGGGTTCCTGTTGGAATCAAGTGTCTGTGGGTTTCCAGAAGTTCCAGCTGATTGAAGTCATCAGGAAAGTGATCGAGTTTCTCCTGGGCCTCAAGATCATCCTCTGGACTCTCTGTGGCCTTGCCCTGAGTGGAGGTGACAGTGTCCTCCTGGAAGCTGGTCATCTAAAAGCCGCAACACAATGAGAATTGTTAATGTTTCCACAGCTGTCAAGATGGCCACATGCAATGAAATCTAACTGTGCAATATCCTTGGATTTAGTAATTGACAGCTTTTTAGTGTGTAAGCCAGCTTGGCTTGGACATATACTGAACAAATTGCTTAACCTCTGCAAAACAAAACAGTAGTCTTGGTAAATGCAACTAAAACTGTACAGTTATAAAATGTGTGACCAACATTGTTATTATCTTTAAACTCCGTAGGAGGGCCACATTGTATATTTTACAAATATCTGTGGGCGGAAAAAAAAATCCCAATCTGAGCCCCCCTGACATCAGAGTTCTCCCTTACGTCAGAATTGGGGACTATAGGAAGCCCCCTCCTGATCTTAACCACTTCCTGTCCGGACACTTTTACCCCCTTCCTGTCCAGCTTTCAGCTTTCAGCGCTATCACACTTTGAATGACAATTGCACGGTCATGCAATACTGTACTTTTATGAATTTTTTACCATTTTTTTGAGACAGATAAAGCTTTTTTTTGGTGGTATTTATTCACCGCTGGGATTTTTTTTTTTTTTTACTATGTAAATGAAAAAGTCCAAAATTTTTTTTTAAATAAAATTTTGCAAATAAATAATATTTCATCATAAATCTTGGCCAAAATTTATTCCGTTATTTTTTTAGTAAAAAAAAAAAATCCAAATTAGTTTATAACCAAAAATTATAATTTTTAAACATTTTCTTTTACATTTTTATTTTATTTTTTTTATATTATTATTTTTTATTTATTTATTTTTTTTACATACTGTCACCCTAGCAGTACAGTCTCACCATGGTGACACTGTACTACTTGTGGGGGGTGATGAAGATTTTTTTTTTTTTTTTTTTTTTTTTTTTTACACACTGATTGCTTTTACACCCATATAGGATGTAAAAGCAATCATTTCTCTTTCTCTCTGTCTGCATTCTTGCAGTCATTGAGAAGTACTGAATGAGCTGTGATTGGTCACAGCTTGTCACATGGTACAAGGCTGTTGTGAATAGCCTTGTACCATGTGACCTCTGTGATCATTCACAGATTTCACACGTAGTAAGCAATGATGTCACAAGTGACATCATTGCTTACTACTTTGCATGTGATCTCTGATTGGCCAATCAGTGATCACATGATCGGTACCTCGTACAGAGGTCCCGCCCGATGATTGGTGTTTCACTGTGTCCGGAAGACACAGCAGGCACCGGATCGCGGTGCTGCGCGCTCCCAGGGAGCGCTCACAGCTAGAAAAGGCAGGTGCCGTTTATGAACGGCAACCTGCCCCTGGACTGCCACCGCCCTGCCGTTTATAAACAGCAGGCGGACGGCAAGTGGTTAAAGCAGTATTAGGGCTCATGTACACGGGGCATTTTGAAAACCCTTCTGAATGATGGAAACTGACTGCTGGAAAACGTAGGTTAAAAAACGTCATTTTAGCTGCGTTTGCATACCGCTTTAGCTGCGTTTATGCACGTTTGCGTTTAGAAGCGCTTTTAAAAGATAACCTCAGGAGACCCTCCCAAATGCCCAGAATGCACTGAAAAACAGTAAATTCACTAAATAAGACTACTAAAATACCGCATGAGTTATTTCATGAAGTCATGCGGTATTTTAGCAGTGAAAAGCATGCATCATGTTTCAGCTGCCAGTAGGGTTCCCACTGACAGCTGAATGTAAAAGAAAGAATTGCCGGCAATAAAATAATAATAATAATAAAAAAAAACAGTGTGGGGTCCCCCCTCCCATCCATACCAAGCCCTTCGGGTCTGGTATGAATTTTGAGGGGAAGCCCCGCGACAAAATAAAAAAAAAATGGCATGGGGTTCCCCCTCATAATCCATACCTGACCCTTATATCTGAGCATTCAGCCCGGCAGGTCAGGAAAGGGGGAGGGGGGGTGAGCGAGCGCCCCCCCCCCAACCATGCCAGGCCACATGCCCTCAACATGGGGGGGGGGTGCTTTGGGGTAAAGGGAGCTCCCCCCCGCCGCAGTCCCGCTATAAGTCGCTGGTTGCCGCCTATACCGCCATTGGTAGACGCTACAACTTTCATGTAAACCAATTAATTTACACGTATTAGAATTTTTTTGTAGTAAAGACATGTAGCAGAATACATTTTGACCTAAATTTATGATGAAATTTGATTTTTTTTTTTACTGCTTATGTTTTATAGCAAAAGTCAAAAATGTATATATATTTTTTTTTTTCAAAATAGTCAGTCTTTTTGTTTATAGCGCAAAAAATAGAGCTGATCAAATACCACCTAAAGAAAGCTCTATTTGTGGGGAAAAAAAAGGACATACATTTAATTTATGTACAGCTGTGCATGACCACGCAATTGTCAGTTAAAGTAATGCAGAGCCATGTCGCAAAAAATGGCCTGGTCAGGGAGGGGGGTAAATCCTCTTGAGGGCAAGTGGTTAAGGAGAAGGTCAGTTAGCCTTAACAATGGATGAGTTATCAGCTGTCAGCATGGTTGTCCATTCACGCACAGATTGTGGCTCGCCCACCCCCAGCTCTCTTCTCACTGGCTCACTGGCTGTGAATGACAGCAGCAGGAGCCACTGGCTCCCGTTGCTGTGTGAGCTAATGAGGGAAAAGAGACCCGGGAGAGCCACGGCTTTCAAGCATATCACAGGTTCAAGTTGGGGCTCAAGTAAGTATGGGGGGGGGGGGCTGAGGGGCAAGCTGCACCCAGAAGGTTTTTTACCTTAATGCATAGAATGCATTGAGGTAAAAAACCTTCTGACTTTAGAGCCAAATATAGCAAAATATACGGATCATACTAGTGATCTGGTAATGTCCGTGATTACACGTGATCCACATAAATGTCCGTAAGGCAATAAAGTGCAGCAAATTAAAGCTGCTGAGGGCAAGTGTGATATTAAATCACATGAAGCTTGTCGCCCAAAAAGGAGCAGGAGCTTTTTGGGCGACAAACGTCATGCGATGTGATTTGCCGCATGTCAATTGAGGCAAAACCACACCACGTTTTAGGTGCCATTGAAAACAAAGGCACCTGAACCTGCGTTTGTGATCGCGGTCAGAATCTCAGCGATTCTGCCGTGATCCCAAAACTCCCAGGTGTAAATGGTGCCGCTCTGGTTCACACATATGCGATCCTGGATGCGTTATCAAACACACAGATTTGCACGACAGGCTAGATATTATCTGTTCCTATTGGGGTGGTTCACGCAGATGTGATCCATATGCGTTGCGTTTTGAGTGCCATTATGAACAGGGTCTTGTGCGAGTTTGTAGCGGTGCGTTCCAGACAAGTAATAGAGAGGATTGGCATGCACAGATAAGTGTTCATATAGGATAGCTATTGACAGGAGTTTTTGCATTGAAGGGCGGGCTGTGCTCATTTGAATGGGTTGCTGTTCCCGTGTTTCACGCAAGAAAAAGGTGCATGCACCTTTTTAAAAACGAATCTCCAGGGAAACCGCAAGGTCTTTTTAGCCATGGTTTCCCTGCGGTTCCCAAACTCACGATTGTGCTGCGGGCTGAAATGCACGGGGATGCCATTCAGAATGAATGGCAGTCCCATGCATTTCGCAAGAGCATTGCAATTCGGCTGCAGGTGGTTGCGAGTGTGGGAAGTCAGTGGGAGGTGTTTTTAATTGCAGTAAATAGGGAATGGGAGGCATTTTTGCTTTGAAGTCAATGGGAATCAATTTTGCATTGAAGTCAATGGGACGTGATTTTGCAGAGAGAGCGCTAGCAAAATTGTGCCTGTACTGAAATTTCTGAGAAACTGGAATGACATTACGATTTCAGTACACCTATATGTGAACCCAGGCTAAGGAGGCTGCTTGCCCACAGCAGAGCTAAATATAAAGAAAAAACCCTGCCCAGTGCCTGGAACTGCATGTCCTGGGTGTTGGACGATGTAAATTGTGCATTCCTGCATCTCCAACCCAGCAACTGAGGACACTAGGAGGCTTCCTTCAGAAGTTGCCTGCATCCAAGCAACATAAGAACTAGGCGGCTTCCTTCAGAAGTCACTTGTGTCCTAGCAATGGAAGGTGCTAGGCAGCTTCCTTCAGAACTAGCCTGGGACCTAGCAACGGAGGATGCAGAAAGGCTTCCTTCAAAAGTTACCTGAAACCTAGCAACAGAGGATGCTAGGGGGCTCCTTTTAGAAGTTGTCTGCATTCTAGTACCAGAAAATTCTCCTTTGTGACCTAGCAATGGCGGTTGCTAGGAGGCTTTCTTCGGTATTTGCGTGCGTCCCAAGGCAGAAAAATTCGTCCAATTCAGCAGGGAACAGCCAAATTTTGATCTACGTATGATCAGGATGCTTGTACACAAGTTGATCTATCAATGGAAAATTATATAACCAGCCTGTCAGGTTTTTCCTGATCAACCAGAATACAATAACTCAGCCGGAGTGATTCCCCAGCCGCATCAAGCCTGCGGATGGGGAATCTAGTCATCTTTTTTTTTTTTAGCCCGCTGGCTGAATGAAAAGAAAAAAAGAATAAATCATGGCCATCCCTAGCAACAGTGCAATTTGGAAGCCTACCTTCAGAAGTCACCTGTGTCCTAGCAATGGAGAATGCTAGAAGACTTATAGGTCTCCTGCAGTGTAGCAACAGTAGGCTATAAGATGCAGGCAATGTCTGAAGAAAGCCTTAGCAATGGAGGGTGCTGGGTGGCTTCCTTCAGAAGACATCTGCAACTGAGCAACAGAGGACACTAGGAGGCTTTTCTATCATATATATATATATATATATAACATGCATACAGAGCATGTTTACACAGGATCTTTGTACTAATGCCATATTTTCATACAGCGTGTGCCTGAGCCCAAACAGGATTTACAAAATGAAGGAAAGGAATTTTGCATCCTTTTTGGTTGTATTGATCATAGATTGTTTCTAGTTACAGGCAGGGCTGGGACAAGGGGTGGGCAGGAGGGCCAACTGCCCTGGGCGCAATGGTTTACTGTAGGGATGGGGGCCCCTT